AGAGCCATAGAGCAGGATCTGTGGGATCCAGCAGGACGTTGCTGGGCCTCCCGTCTCTTGATGCTGYGGGTGACCCGGCTACGGTGTGCTGAACGGAAAGCCAGAAGACATCGTTGTCCCSCGGCTTGTGCCCGAGCCTCAGCGCCCTCTCCTCCCGCTCGTCTCCTTCCCAACCCAAGGTGTCTGTGCGCTCTGCCTCTCTTATCCCGCTTGCTGGGTCGGAGCGCTGCTCAGCTCCGGCCGGAGCAGCAYGGCAATGGGGTGGGAGGCCGGCGAGGCTCGGCTCGGCTCCGTGTGGACCCCAAGTGCTGCCCCACGGGCTGGATGCCCCTCGTGCCTGTTCCCTTTCCCCAAGCCTCTTGTCCGTGTCCCTGGGACAGCGAGGACGGCATCAGGGCTCGCCTGGTGGCCTCAGTGCCCGCTGGGCACCGTCCCCAGCCGCTCTCCCGAGCTGCCCCCCTGCCCGAGCGCACAGGGCAGACCAGCATCCATCCACCTCCAGTTTATTGGGAAGCAGCCAAGGCTGGAGTCGGCCCGAGCGGGACATTGCTCTGGTTTAGCTCCGTGCTCTCAATCGGGCTGTGCCAAGGAGCCCGTGGGACGGAAGCAGGGCTCCGCGCGGGCTCTGGGCAGCGCCCTCGGGAAGGGGAGAGCCGCTCGCTCASGCCGGGATGACGTCTCGGCGTCATCGTCGGGAGCCCCGCGCTAGGGAGCGTAGCCGCCGTTGCAGTAGGCTGGAGGGGACGACGGCACCACGGGCACAGCTGCAGAGCGGGCCGCGAAAGGCAGCGCCTGCGGAGCAGAGCCGTGAGTGCCCCCGCTCCCCGGCGCTCCCTGATCAGCACGTGGATTTGGGAGACATCCCGGGGCTGCGCAGTGCCCGGGGGCACCCCGCGGTGCAGCCCAAGCTCACAGCGAGTCCCCCTTGGCTGTCACCCGGCCCCTGCTTGTCCCAGCGCCCGTCGGGAYGCAGCCAGGGTTACTCACGGGTTGGTGTAGGTGGTGGGCAGCCTGGCGCCCCTGGTAGGAGAGCAGGATGGTGACGAAGAGCTCCAGGATACTGAGGAAGAGCAGCATGCCYGCGACCCCATTGCTGGCCGTCTGCAGATGACAGGGCCCCGCGGAGCGTCGCGACACGCGCGGGACAGCCCCGAGCGCGCGGCTGGGACCCCACCTTTGGCCCCAGCAACTCCTGGGAAGCTGGGTTCCTGGGTGGGAACCGCTGCTCCGTCGCTGCCCACCTCGTCCGGGGCCGTACGTGTGTGTGGCGGGCAGCCCCAGCCCCAGGAGCAGCTTTGTCAGGGCTGCTACAGCCCTCTRTAAGTGTGCGTGGAAATGTCACTGTGGCTTGAAATCATAGCAGTGTCTCGTGGACGGTTTTCTGGGGCTAAAGGAATCCGTTGTTTCCCTTCCTCCTAGCAAAGCCCAAGGATTTTCAACCAGCCCAGCTTTCTCCGGCTTTTCTCCTCACTCCTGTCACTCACAGCAAACTTTCTTGAGCCAGCTCAGCTCAATCACCAGAAACCAAAGCAAAACATTTTTAAAAACCATAGTAATAATGGGGTTATAATATTGTGAGTGCATTTAATTATGATGGCAGCCCCAGTTAACGATGGGGCTGGCGGCTGTCACGGATTGCATGGGAGACGCGGGTGAGCGGCCCATGAGATGGCAGCCTGGCTCCTTCTGGGTTCACCAACGTGRGCAACCCCAAAACAACGGCAACGCGGGCCGCTTACCAAGAGACGTGCTGAGGAGAACGGGTACATCCTGTTTCCAGCCAGCTCCACCACTGAGAGGATGATCCCGACTCCTGCAAACAGGGCGCTCGCCRCGTTTGCTCCCAGGCTACTCTTCACCTGCAAGAGCGGTGCACAGGCCTGGCTTAGCAGCAGCGCAGGACGGCGCCCAGCCTYCGTGCCTGTCCCCACCGTCCAGTCTGCACTCCGTCTTGTTTCCAAGCCCAGCCTGGGGCCCAAGCGCTGCCTGTCCKTGCGGGCAGGCTTTGCCGAGCATTTCTGGTGCCCACCGCTCTGTAAGCGCCGGCCATAGCAAAGCGGCACGGGGATGCGGGGAAGCGTCGCAGGGGGCCTGCTCACCAAGATGGGCTTGTCAACGTAGTCCGCGGCCACCGAGAGGGATCCTGACGTGACGAACTGTCTTGGGAAGAGAAGGCAGGGCTGTTCACCCGAGCGAGCGCTTGCCGAGGCGCCGCCGCCGCCGGTACGCACCATGAGGCCGCTCCAGAACGGAGAGCCGCTGGCCACGGACAGCGTCCAGAAGGTCCAGGAGCGCTGGGAGTTAATGGAGGCCACCCCACCGAAGCCGAGACAAGCGACGCCGATGAGGACCTGGAGGGCCTGCGGGAGGCAAGGAGGCGTGAGCGGCTGCGCTCCCGCCACCGCCRCGAGGGCCCCGGCGAGCTCCGCGCTGCAAGAGCCCCCCGGTAGGGCCGTGCTCACCCCCAGCAGCTTGGGCCTGGCCCAGGAGACGCTCTCAGCCATCGTCGCCGYGTGTCGGAGAAGCGGTCGCCGTGCTCAGAGCAGCTGGCCACGGCGTGTCCCCATGGGGCGCTGCTGGGCGGCTGGGAGCCGGCACCGGGACCCTCGGCGCTGGGGCTGCAGCGTGCTGGGCTCCGCCGCGGCGCGAGGAGCCTGCGGACGGAGCGAGCGGCCTTGTCACCCTGCACAGCTGGAC